TGCATTCAAAATCTACTTACAATGGGCCCTTGTAGCTTTACACTGAGTAATGATTGATTGCTTATACTGCAATTTGAATGTCTAAAAAGTTCAAATTTCAGCACCAAGATATCTATATATTCAAACAATATAATGAAAACTCGCACTTTTCCCCTGCAGTGCCAAACTGAAGAACCACAAGGAGGTGTGCATTAACCCAGAGACCAAATGGCTGCAACAGTACCTGAGGAATGCCATGAACAAGTAAGGAAACCCTCTTGACAAATAGGAGCAGAGAAATAGGAGAAACGGGATAGGAAATACAGGGCCACACACAATGTGTAATTTGTCTTACAGCCATGTTCTCACTATAAATGGCCTTACAGAGTCACTTTTATTTCACATAACCAAATTATATTTACTTATCCCAGATGAAATGGTGCACTGCGTCAAATATCAAAGGCCCATTGTAATAGTTTACGTAAAAGGGAAGGACCTTTAAGCATGGATGCATTTGGATTTTGTACAGGAAAGCAGCATCATAGGGGTCCGAAAGAGTTCCTCTTCAAGCTCTTTCTCACACATGTAAAGGGCTTGAATGATGTGCTTAGTCACACACCATAGCCTTGCATGCTGATGAGAACTATCCTGCCTGTATGTTTTCACTTCTATTGAGTGAAGTGTTCAAAACAGCTGCTTTATTTGGATTTTTAACAAAGATTAATGGCAGTGCCGTGTCAAACTCCATTACAAACCTCACTTATTTTCCATACCATAAATGCTCACCAAGGTGTAAACAAAGACTTAAACTGTGTCAAAGGGTCAGCGAGATAAAAACAGCTGGTCATACTCATAATTCACAAACCGACCAACAATTGACACATAAGCCAAAGGCAAAGCCCTGGAGAGCAGATCAGAACCTGATTCCCAAAGCTCAAGGGCCCTTGATACTTCAAATCTGCATTGATGAGTGATGCTGGTAACACTATCTACCAGTGTTTGCTGTTGGCCTTGGCTTGCTGTGAAGTAATTACTACCTGCTGTTCGCAGCCCAGACCCTCTCAAACTCCCACTGACCAGATTGAGATAGAGCAACAAATGCCAGGCCCTGATAAACTGCTGCTACTTCAAGAGTCAGCTAACCAAATTAGAGGAGATCCATGAAATGAAGATAAGAACTGATTACTTTAAATGATACAGATATGATGATGGTGGACACATTCTTTAAAGCTAATCTTGTCTCTGAAGAATGTTCTCATCCTCATTAAATTTTCAAGGATTTATATTATGCAGTGACATTCATTTGCGGGACTTTTAGGAATGTGTTACTCACGGGATTATGAGAAGGACAACAACTAACAGCTGCAAGTTCAGCAGACCGTTTGAGTGTGTGATGAATTATAATGTATGCCAGAAACCCAGAGTTTAAAAAGATTAATGAACATTTCTTAGAAAGCATTTATAGCATCAATACACATAACCAAAGCAGAGCCCAAAATTTTATTAAAATAATATTATTATCATCAACTATAAAGATTTTCTAAAAAAAAATGCAATAAATTATTTTCAATATTGAAATACAAATACAATATCATTTTAAATGTTAACTACATTTGACCTTGCTAAAATATTTATCAAAATCCAAAAATTAAATTTTAACCATATTGGGTTTTACTTTACATAGGAAAGAGTTTAATGATTTGTTTGTGTCAGTTGTAGCCAATTGAAAACAAATGGTTCACATGTGCTGACAAGACACCTATAATCTAATCTCTTTACTGAGAGCTACAAGGAAGAGTGAGATAACAACCTGGCAATCTGTTAAGACCTGTAGGAATGACGGGAACACAGATGCGGAAAAAGAATACTGAGGGTGATGAGAGATTGCAGTGTAATATCACTTACTAGAGAGAGGAGTGACTGAGAACTAACTGCTTGGCTGAGCTTGAATGCACAACTGTTCTGCTATTGTATGGCTGATGCTGACTATGGGGTTTCTATTGTACTGCATTCAAAATCTACTCACAATGGGCCCTTGTAGCTTTACACTTAGTAATGATTGATTGCTTATACTGCAATTTGAATGTCTAAAAAGTTCAAATTTCAGCACCAAGATTTCTATATATTCAAACAATATAATGAAAACTCGCACTTTTCCCCTGCAGTGCCAAACTGAAGAACTACAAGGAGGTGTGCATTAACCCAGAGACCAAATGGCTGCAACAGTTCCTGAGGAATGCCATGAACAAGTAAGGAAACCCTCTTGACAAATAGGAGCAGAGAAATAGGAGAAACGGGATAGGAAATACAGGGCCACACACAATGTGTAATTTGTCTTACAGCCATGTTCTCACTATAAATGGCCTTTACAAATACAAATTGCCTATAAAAAGTACTGAGATGTCTGTTACATTCTTGCCAGAAGCAGAATTTAGGTTTATTGTTCTAATCACTGTGGAGATTCAGGCTATTTAAAATGCCCTGCTTCTCTTAACAAGTCATAAACACATTTAAAACACTTAAATTCTTCAGCATTACAGTATGACTGTTTTCTCATTCTAATGTTTTGCTTCTCTTCATTGCAGAATGAAAAAAGCTCAACAACAGCAGAGCTAAGAAGTCTGCCAGATGACAAGAGAATCTGACAGCCCACCGTCACAGATATGTACCATATAGTCCTCTGGCATGCTTGCTGACCCAGCACTTAACCTGTCAAATATGCATCCCCAGTAAATGACTCGGCAAAAGACCACCAGACCATCGTCTCCACCCATGTAGTCTTCTCTGTTAGCACCAAGTGCAATTATATATGTATGACTGTGTTTTTTTTACGTATGATATGTATATACAATGTTTTCTTATATATCGTCTTAAAAACAGTAAAGAGATATTTTTGGAGTCGTGTTTGCTCCGTGTTTGTTGTGTTATGTTGGATTAGGCAGATCGGCATTGAGATAATGAGGCATTTTGGAGCAAACATTCAAAACTCTGAAATATTTTTAAATTTTAGATGTAACCGAATATGTGACTTCACATTGGCAGGACTGAAGTTCTGACAACTCATATGCATGCAAGTGCTTTGACACAAAAAGAAGGGCATTGATTTTCAACTATTTCATTACGTATTTTACTAGTTCATAACTTAGATATCAGTAACAGCATAAACTGCATGTAAACTTTATATGGCATATATGAAAGAAAAAAAAGAGTCACTTGTTTTCATTCTTGGAAAGGCAGGGTTACTTAGCCAAACAAACATGAACAATTTAGACCTCGTATAACCCAAACGGTTTCTGAATGACTTTGGGGAATGTAATTGGTTTTACTGGAAGGCATTTGTGCTCCGACAGAGTGTCTTTTGCAACATTCTGTAGATACCAAAACATCTGTGCTTGCAAATGTTAATTGACCGATCAGAGTGTGCGTAACGAGCTCGGTGTCACAACATAAATGTTTCTTCACGCTCAGCAGAATTAAGTCATGAACAGAGACATCAGAGACAGTTGAGCGTCAGTTAACAAAACAAAAGTAGAGGTTAGAGAATTTACTGCAAGTACTAATGAGCTAATTCATTCATTCAATGATGAAAACTAAATCATGGCAGGCATGATAATCTTTATAAAACAGCAGTGTTAGTGGAACATCTGAGGTAGACCTTGAGGCAGAACTAATCGACGTAATGACTACCTATATATAACAATGCACTTTATAACCCTTGTGACTTTTAAGGAAAAAAAGCAGATTCTGAATGACTTCCATTACGTAGTGAATAGTTCTAGTGCCTAATGTTTTCTTTGTTTAGACGTAGTTATGATTGTATTGCCAAATTTATTAAACATTTGTATCTTCAGCATCATATTTTATTATTTTGAGTGGGTTTATTTTATATTTTTCTGGAATATTTGACAACTATGTTTAAGAACAGTCAGATTATTAATTTAAACATCAACAGCAGCTGAATAACTGACATGTACATAAAAAATACATGTCAATAAATACATTTTAATGAAAAAAATCTAACAAACAATTTACAAATATCTGACTTTTGCAAAAAAATATTTAACCAGAAAATACATCTCAAAATCCCCCCAGTGAAAAATGTATCAACAATTTTGAACATCTAAGCATGTCTCGTGTTTCTCTTGGTCAACTGTTTTGTCTAGGAATACACATAATGTGAACACCAAACATATAGCAAAGTATGCCAATGCCTTGTACCTCTCCAAAGAAAATTTGTGTTATATTACTGCCATAACATTGAGCCGTTAAAAGAACCAGACCTCACAAACACAACCCTCAGGCACAAAATCTATAAGGAAACATAATGCCTCTACATACTCTGTGCCTCTACTGGAGTCTGTGTATAGGATGAGGGTTAGAGCCCCCTGCCAGTACAGTACATCTTGGAAAAATAAAATATCATGCACTCTTTGAAAAGGGCCATTTCAGAATGTGGTTAAAGCCATATTACTAATGAGTATTTTTCAACATTTAGAAAATGAAAAGAGACACAAAGCTTTTCTCACTTAAAATGCCCCAGTGCATTGATGCCAATAAATAAAACATTTCCAGGATTAAATGGAAAAGTAAAAGTAGCTATTTTATATATATTCCAGCAAATTGCCAATATTCCCAACACTGTCACATAAGTAACTGTAGCATATATGTCCTTCCATTTATTTTTCCCACTTAATGTGAAGATTACTTCTGTGTATATGGCAGCTTAAAGCATATCTGTTGTTCTTTCCTTTGTAAGTCTGTATATTGATTTGATGTAGTCCCTTACATGTTCATTTTGAAATAAATCATTATGAAGAATTCTGTATGACGTTTTACTAATGGATGCTTATGAACATCAGTCATGTCACCTGTGATTTGGTTCACACCAAGAGAAAAAAGGTCACCTGTCACTTATGTCTCCAACAATTAGAATCTGGATGTTAAATGAGGAAAAGGGAAATAAAGATTTGAAATGGGGGTCACGAATTGCAGAAAGACTAAAAATTCTCACCTTGATTTCACACAGCTCTTTTAAATAATCCTAGCAGCAATTTTAGGTTTACATGAGACACTGAATGGCTTTTCACCTGTCCAAACATCCACTGAGGTTTGGTGTAAAATAAAATATTTGCCTTGTACAGTTTATAAGCTGTCATATTCAATTTCCCTTAAAAACGGAAAAAGAAAACCAATAAAAACTGAACTGTACCCTTACTCTCAGAAGAAATAATCTCTTGCACAGCAGGGGAAATTCAGTCATATTACAACTTTGTATAGCTGTCAAAATCAATATTCAAAATAAATTAATATTGCTAGTCATAAAATCTGGTACAGATCTATTATGAAACGCGTATGCTCTGATATGGTGCAAAAAGAGATTAAATCAAGTTTATATTTGAGGTATTAACTCAAAACAGAAATACAACCGATAATTCTAATAGAATAGTATAAAAGTTCATACATCTGTCATATGCATAAAATGTATACCTCACATATAAGATTACATTTGTTTAATGCTTCTAATACTGACAAAACATACTTTTTAACATACAAATTATTAATCAAATTAAGATATAACAAATTTTTAAAAGACAAAGGGAATGCGTGACTAAACAATATAATGTATAAGTTCATGAAAACTTTAGAATGTTAAATAACCAAAAAAATAAGACTTTTTTTGTTTTGTTTTGTTTTTTTAAGTCAAAGATGTGGAACATAAGACAAAACAAGAAACATCACAGTTTCTTTTGTTATCATTATAGTAAAGAACCAGTTTCAGTTCAACATAACTTCTGACACCAATTTCAAAATACCACAAGCAGCTACTTGAAGGCTAATATAATGCTTCTAAAAGATCACACAAGTTGTATGAAGTCTCCAGAGGTGAGCTGATCAATTCAGCAGAGGATGAATTGAACGAAAAGTTTTAAATTAAAAATACTGAAACTCAAGGTTGCCCGAGCAACTGCATGTAAGAATAATACACCAAGCTACTTTGGATGAGCTTGGAAATTAGGACACTTACAGTTAAAATGGAGAAAATTGCTTTCTCAGACTTCATGATGAAATCAGGGGCAAAAATAAAGAGAAGTTCTTCACAGAAGCCAAAAGAATTATTAAACCAAAAGGAATGTCATTCTTTATTATGCATGTAAGATCATTCATCAAGAGGTCATTGGTAAACTTTGACACTATTTTATGTATAACAACCTTTTTTTTCAGATCCACAGTCTCAAATGACATTGTGTAAACCAGTTTGAGGATGCCACATTTTATAACCTGTCATCAACTATGTGGAATGAGATACAGTATTCAAAGAGGAAGCTACAAAGATATCATCAGACAGATCAGTGGTTTGTGTTGCTGTGACGACAGATAAGATGACATGAATTATGAGTGTCAGTTTATCTTCACCGCAGGGGATAAAGAATGCACTTCAAAATGAGATACCAACATTGTTCCTTATAAACACACACACACACACACAACACTTTAGTTTGGGGATCAATTCTCACTATTGCTTATTAGAAAGCATATTACTAGCATATTGGCTGTTTATTAGTACTTATAAAGCACACATTAATGCCTTATTCTGCATGACCATATTTTAGATTCCTTACACCATATCTAAACCTAAAAACTACCTTACTAAATATTCATAAGCGGCAAATAAGGAGTTTATTGAGACAAAAGTTGTAGTTAATTGTGAGAATTGATCCCCAAACTAAAGTGACCATTTATGGGTATTTATATGAATGGGTGTATATATTTGAAGTTTGAATTACACCCCTAGTAAAAAAAGTAATGTATTTAAAAGACATTTATTTCATACCAAGTACAGTTCAAATCTATTAACATATTTGCTGACATATCACTTAAGACCTGTCAAGACTGAAAATTATAATTAAACTTTATCTGGAGCGTTACTTGTGCACAATGCACATTTCTTAACATTAAGCCTAAAATGTGTTTTAATGTCACTATTGATGAGAATTGTATGATCTTTGAATATCCGACTTTAAATGCAAGATATTTCAAGTGTACCTAAAGTATACTTGCAATAGTTCTACTTTAATCAAAGCATAATCAAATATACTCAAGTATACTTCAGCATTACTTCCGCACAATTAAAGTGCACAAAATTAGTTGTTCCAATTGATCAGACTTTAGGTATACAAGTTCAGTATACTAAATTGCAGGGTTTTTATAAGTACATAAATATATAAATGTATTTGTAGTATATACTTAGCATTAAATAAATGTATTTCAGTATGTTTTAGTATATTTATTTTTCACTAGGGACCATAATGCAAACTCAATAATATTATTGTGTTCACTAATATTTATACCTCTTAAAAGACTGAAGATAAAAGTTAAAACCTCAGTTTACCTATTTAAAACTGCTGTTTTCCCCACTACACTTAATTTAATACTTGTTTAACACAGCAGTCAAATATGGGCCATTTTAGGATGGCAAACACACTGATTAATTCCCAAGAGAACACAGAATTATCAGTCACTCTGAACATAAATGAAAATTTGAATGCACAGAACAAAGTTTTGTAAAACAAACAGACCAAAAAAAGCTGTCAAAATGATTGCTTTTTGAACTGAAAAATTAAGTATAAAATGTGCATTATAGTCTATAATAATTTACACTTTATAGGAGTCAGCAACAGTTTGTCAAAATTCAAGTCGTCAAACCTGTTTTTACAATCTATATAGCAATACATTTCTGGAGAAAATACCACTGCACCAACCACCATTGAACTCACTGCCAGTTAATCAACAAATACTAACATGCATCATGTCTGAAATATTCGTTAAAAAGCTTTTACTGCCATCTAAACATTTGTACTCTATTTAGAGGAAGGAAATACATTACACAAGTTCAAAGAAACAAAAAAGTGTGTCTGGTTTATAAAGTGAAAACCATAAAAATTTAGCTCTGCTAATTTCCAGTTCCTGTAACTTATGACCTCACAAAACAAGCAGAAAATACTCTACAGTACAATATAACAGTAACAATCGACAATATAATGTTTTGTCAATATTACTACTAAAAGAAAGGTTGAGAGTATGCTCTGGAATAATTATAAACAAATCAGAAGCTATCATGCTAAAAATGATTCATACACTTCCCACATTCAGATCAGTGATAGTTCACAGTGGTTAATTCTCATAGGGTCTCTGCATCAACCCCTGCATTACATTTTGTCTAATCTTTCAAATTGCTTGAAACCCCCTCTAACTCGCTCCCCAGGGGACGAACAGCAAGGGCTACTGCACTTTCTCATCGCAATCTCTCTGAAGTTGTACGATGTGGCCTATGGCCATTTAACTTACTCCATCTCCTTGCCTTATTGCAAGCATGTGCTCAAAAACTTATACAAGTTTGTGTGACAAGCATTAAGTCACAATCCACCAGGGGATTGCGGCGCATTGGCAAGCACTCATTGTTTCTGTATCTGATGACCCTTTATGATACAGCATGCAAACGCTTTCCCTCAAAAGGGCAATAACGATTCCGGAATGGCTCCACTTTAAACTTTTCCTGATTGTACATATCTGAAAGACCAGTTAATGCCTTTAATTGTGCTCACAATGGACAGAACCCTACAGAGACATAAATCAATTCTAGAAAGAAATAATTCTGCTGAATTTCTCGAGGGAAGAGCAACAATTGAACAGTGTTCTTGTACATAATAACATCTGCAGAGTTCCTTCAAAATGTGACAAAAACAGCCCCCTGTAGTTGATTTAACTATGTCTTTCATGTGTTAATGGAGGTTATTAGATTTAATGCCACACATTTTCATAGTAAAGCTAAGAGTCCGAGGGATTATAGACTTCTAGGCTTCAACAAGGGTGAACGCAGAGGTTGGGCAAGAGGTCTGAGCAGCAGACAAAGTAATGCACAGCCAGATTCTTTTGGAGTGACTCAGGCTCTGATGGAGGCTCCCCATCCTCCAACTATGTGAAATCCCTCTTTCAGATGGCTGGTGTTCTTTTTGATCACAGATATTCACAAGACAATAGACTCAATTTCATGTGGTGAAGTGATCAATAGAAAATCATTTCTCTGGGGCTAACGAGGGGTGACGGGGGCCCGTTTTTGCTTCCCCGCCACACCTTAAGCTAAGAACATAATGTTGAGGAAGCCACATTGAAGTAAGCAATAATTCTCTATAACTCATTCATTCATAGTACTTCAAAACTAGCAGTAACACAGAATACAATCTAAAGATATCATGACTCAAAATCTCGAGAGGCCCCTTGCAACACTGAGGATAGTGAGGCCTTAGGTGACTAAAGCACTTAACTGAGCAATGCTGGTCTTATGTGATTTTTTAAACATTATCCGAGGGAGTTTTTAACTAATTTGAATCAGGCAATGTTTCTATTCCAAAGTCATGTTTGCCTGTGTGACTGTATATTATGCTTGGTCCCAATCATAACACTTTACAAGAAGGATAAATTCGTTAACATTGGTTAATGCATTATAGATATCACAAACTAGCAATGAACAATATTCACAGCATTTATTAATGTATGAAGATATCATGACTCAAAATCTCGAGAGGCCCCTTGCAACACTGAGGATAGTGAGGCCTTAGGTGACTAAAGCACTTAACTGAGCAATGCTGGTCTTATGTGATTTTTTAAACATTATCCGAGGGAGTTTTTAACTAATTTGAATCAGGCAAAGATTCTATTCCAAAGTCATGTTTGCCTGTGTGACTGTATATTATGCTTGGTCCCAATCATAACACTTTACAAGAAGGATAAATTCGTTAACATTGGTTAATGCATTATAG